CACACAGACTCGCTGCTGCTGCTTCTCTTCTCTACCTCAGATTACATGTCTTGAAAAAGGGATAGAGAAGTCCGTGTTTTTTAGCATTGTTCAGAATTGTGGGAAAAGCGCCTTGTTTTCAGGATTATTATGGACTAAACTCATGGAAAATAGCTGGCCTGTGGGAAAAACTATGAATGTCTTCCCTGTGGAGTGTGTTTCTCTCTATGTGTACAGACATATGTATGAGCATGTACACATATGCATGTATGCATATTCACAGATCCACAATCACACATATGTATGCATGTACACATGTATACACACAAACAGGTATACATGCATGTGTACATATAGTCACACACACACACACCCCACTCCCTCAGTTCCATTTGTACTTTTTTCTTTCAGACTTTGTACGTCCTCTGACCTTAATCTTTTCTTCCTTGCTGACCACAGTTCTGTTCTCTCTTCCTTAGGAGTTTGACCCCAAGGCTGACAAAGAGATGCTCCAAAGGCTCCTTTGTTGCTTGGCATTGCAAAGGGACAAGCACAGCAGGTCACAGCTAGGGCTCCATCCATCACCTGGTTCTGGTTGCTTTTCCCTCGTCTTATGTTTTCCGTCTTAAGCTTGCCGTGCCCTTTAACTTTGACTAAGAACTTTAGCCAAAGTGAAGTTGTTCCCTTAAACACCGCTTACCTTTTCCCCAATCCCAGCGTTTAAGGAAGATGAAGAGGTTGTACCGATTCTATTACTGAAGTAAATGAAAATCATTACTTGTATCATGGTTGGCTCTGAGGCTTTTTCCCCCGGCATCCCTCTTGCCTGTGGTACCCTGTAGCATCTCCACTCTCTAATTCACTGGTGCTTTCTCTCTCTTGTGGCTTGCTGGAAGTGACATAGCAAAATACCTGTGCTCCTCACTAAAGTGTCCTGCCAAGCTATCCCCCGTGTCATCCCAAAGTTCCTGCATTTAAACAGATCACTGTCTCTGAAGTAGCCTGCGGCGTTGACTAGACTGAGCTGCAAGGCAAAGTTCTAGCAATCACACAGGCAAACAGAGTCTTGGCACATATGATGGCAGGACAAAGGGTACAGGAGGTGGGAAATCATCTCTAAGTTTTCTACATGATTCCTGCAAATTTAGATGCGTGTAAATTTGCCTCAGGACTAACAAAGTTCTTCTTTTAGCAGTGGTTTCTTTTTATTTTCTTGTATGGTAACTTGCATTTTATTGATTTGAACCTGATGGCAAGACAAACTTTATGCACAAAATGCTTCTTGACTGTGCTGTGTTGTTATTTTTCTGGAGATTGCGCAAGCTGTTTGTATGAAATAACATCCACAATGGCCCAAAACCCACAGTGTCTTGGTTTAGACTCTCACTGTTGGTCTTTTTTCAGGTGATACCATCATTAGTATTTCATATTTGCTCTCATATTTATTTCATGCACACATAAATATCTGTGTCTTCACCCCTTGAAAACAGCATCACGTATGTGTTTACACTCATGGGTCCAGCCTGTCTTTTCTCACTCCACAGTACATCTCGGAGATCATTACACTAAGTTTTTAAATAGCTGCAGAACGTTCCATCACTTGAATATACCTGATATTATTTGAATACTTTCCCGTGGAGGGACTCTCTGCTTCCCTATGGGAAGATGGTTCTTCTAGACAAGCTTGAGAGAGTGAAAGTGATACAGATGAAATGCAGCTTAGACAGAGGCAGAGCTCAGGTCTTCTCTATAAGGGCATTTTATTTTCTTTTCATAAAGATTTTGATTCATTTTTCAAGAATTTCATGCAACGTGTTCTGCTTGCATATGAAGCGACAGATATTGCCTTGCGTCTTTGGTGAAGCGTCTAGGTTTGCTTCTAGAATCCCAGCAGTACCTGAACGAGTGAGCAAAGAGTCCTGGATATGTGCATCATTTTATGAAGCTGTTGGGTCTCCAGGCTTGGAAATAATAGCTTTCCCTTAAAAGGTTATCTGGATTCTGGCCAGATGTATGTACACTTATGCAATTATCACAGCAATTGATAAGGCCGATCAAAGGAAATAAGCCTTTGCCACTCAGCATCCAGAACGGGGTTTAAAAGATGGGGTCAGAAAAAAATTCTCTGGGTGATACCCATATTGCTTTCTTAAGTATGTATATTCATTCTCTCTCTCTCTCTCTCTCTCTCTCTCTCTCTCTCTCTCTCTTTCTCTCTTTCTCTCTCCTCCCTCAGTGTGGCATATGTATGTGTGGGATACGCACACACTCCACTTGCTCCCATTCATCTTACTGACAGCCTGTGAGGGACTTTGGTGCCTTCCTCTCCTTGCTCTCCTCTGTATTTCCTTGAGACGTGGTCCTTCACAGAATCTGGAGCGCGCCATTTTGACCAGGCTGCCTGGTTCGGCAAGGAAGCTCTTGGGATTCACTTCCCTACCCCCATCTGTGCTGGAGCTGAGTTATGAACAGCTGTGCTCAGCATTTGATGTAGATGCCAAGGAACCAAACTTAGGTCTCATGCATGCAGGGCAGGTACTCGTACTCCTCAGCCACTTTGCTATCCTACCTTATTTCAAAGATGCCCTTAGAGGCAAGATTTACAGTGGAAGAAAAGCAGGACTGTACGTTCCTTGAGGGAATAGAAATGGCTTACACCACTCAGCTCATCAGTGTTTGTGTAATTGGGTGGGGAACACGATGAAAAAACCCTAAAGCATGGTAAAGGCAGCCATAGCAACATATTAATGTATGATTATACAGAAGTTTATATATTCAAGCATTAATATGACATAATGTCTGAGCCAGCAGAACATGGGTGGTGGGACTTACACGGTCAAGTTCACTCTATCCGTCCCTTTGAAGTACTTTTTTGAATACCCTAGAAAATCTTATATGTGGCTAAACACAATGTAAAAATGGCAGATGTTTCTGGTGGATAATTTAACCTTCGGGAAAATGGTTGTGACACTAGAAACCAATACTATCTTTATGAACCCCAAGTCGAGAAAATTTTATAATATGGAAAACATCCTCAACACCCTTTTGGTTGGACCCTCTAGGAATCAAGAGCTCTTCAGGATGAAGAGAGGTGTGTGTGTGTGTGTGTGTGTGTGTGTGTGTGTGTGAGAGAGAGAGAGAGAGAGAGAGAGAGAGAGAGAGAGAGAGAGAGAGAGAGAGAATTCAAGTGCATGTGTTTGTATGTTAATCTGGAGGCCAGAAGACAAACTTCACTATTGTTCTTCAGGTCTGACCACCTTAACGTTTGAAGCAGTGTCTCTCATTGTCCTGGAATTTAGGGATCTGCCTGTCTCTGCCTCCCTCAAACTAAGTGCAAACAGGATCCACCCTGCCTGGCTGTAAAAACCCAAACCTGGATTTTGGGGCTCAAGCACTTTACTGCCAGCACGTTTTCTATTCATCAGTCTGTTGACTTAGTATTAAATCAAAACACTCATTTATTAAGTCATGTGCTCCCGTTTCCCAAGAGCGTCCGAAGGGGTTGTGAGTCATGGAACTAGCAGCTGGAGTTGGGGCTGTTTTGTGTTTGGGTCTTGGTGTTTAGCTTCTTGGAGTTACAGGTAGTTGGGACAGGCAGGTCAGAGGAGAATCTGATTTCGAATTCAGTAGATATGGTGTAATAACATGGCTGCCTGGTGGGGATTACAGCATTCTTTTCATCTTAAATATCGGTCAGGACACCAAGGCAAAGCATGTTCAGAGTCTCCAGCTGTTAATAGATCTCTTTTCTTACCTGTTAATTGTTAGTTTGAGAGTTTATCTTCCAAGTGCTCTTTTTTCCCCTTGCTATTGATTTCATGTAGAATTTTCTTCTGCTCACTAGTGGAATATGTTCCAATTTTTTTCCCTCCATATCCAAGTGTGCTTGATATTTCAGCTGCCACTGTACATTCTGGTCTTTTCTTAGAATTCCCCAGCTGTGGTGTTGGCTTATCACAGGCCGTAGTTGTAATTAGGAAACAGGATGTGGTAGTTAGACGTATCTCCTGAAAAAACAGAAGATATTCCTACAGGAAAGTATTTAGTGTGACTCAGTTAGGACCTGCAGGTCACAAATTGAGCCGAAAGATGAGCAAGTCTAGGGCCTGGGAGATCGCTTAGTTGGGAAGGTATCTACTACAAAGGTCAAGAATCTTCATTTGATCCCCAGGAAAAAATACTAGTGTCATGGTGTGTGCGTTTAATCCCAGCATGAGAACAAGGAGGCAGGTGGATTCCTGCGGCTCACTGATGGAACTACTTAGGATCTCAGGGCCAGAAACCCGATCTTAAAAACTAGGCTACAGGTATGTGTGGCCTGAGAAATGACACTGGAGGTTGGCCTTTTGCCTCCACATGATGTGCCCTCTATTTGCATACACATGCAACCGCACATACACAAACATGAATACACACAAATACATATACATACACCAAAAAGAGCCACTCCAGTCCACGCCGAGAGGCAAGCACATCCTCTCAGGAAACTGCCTTATCTCTAGTCTGTTCCTAAACAGTGGTTTCCCTGTAGCTGTTGCTTTTGGCTGTAATGTTTGCTTTTATTTCGTTGACAGTTACTCTTTGCTTGGCGTGGAACGAATTCTGTCATGGTGGCTTACAAGCTGTACCACATGTCTTTGATTTCATAGCTACTCTTAGGAAAGGGGACATCTGCTCCCATTTTGAGCGTATCTGGCTCTGATTCAGTTTTTCCTAGGATCCTTCTTCCCTCCCCACTTTTAGGGCAATCTATATCTTTTTTTCCCCCCAACTCCTATTTTATTTGAACTATCTCAGATTCTCACCATTAAGTAATTTCAGCATTTGTGCCCATCTTAAGAGTACACACTCTACAAGCCTTCCTTTATACTATTATCATTTTTTAAAAACATTTTCAGGAATGCATTTCTCAGTTTTAGGGATGCTTTCGTGTGTGTGTGTGCGTGCGTGTGTGTGTGTGTGTGTGTGTGCTTCCTTCTGTTTCTTTTAGTACCCATTGTATTGCTTTCTTCCCTTTGCAGGTCTGCAGACTCCAATTCCAGAGGTCATTGTGGATATGGATTCCATGGATATCTTCCCTGTGGGCTGGTGTGAAGCGAATTTTTACCCCCTGACCACACCGCACAAAACAGTCTGTAAGTGTTGCCCAGTGGAATGAGATGATGAAGACATAGTGTCTATAATCTTGGTGAATAAATGGGCAATTTGGTACAGGAGGTGGTGAAAAATCAAGTTTCTAGGTGTTCTAAGGATTGCCGGTATTATTACTGTCTCAGTTAGTCTTTAAGTGCTGGTATCAAACAGACATTTGGACTGTTTTTGTTTTGTTTTATTTTGGTGTTTCAAGACAGGATTTCTCTGTACCTTTGGAGCCTGTCCTGGAAGTTGCTCTGTAGACCAGGCTGGCCTCAAACTCAGATATCTGCCTGCCTCTGCCTCCTGAGTGTGCGATTAAAGGCGCGTGCCTCCGCCGCCTGGCAATTTGGTCATATTTTTATAGGCGACAGTAAGGAGGGTATTAAAGGAGGCTATGCAATCCACTGTTTTGATTGGGAAAGCTTAGATTAGACATCATATTATTTTTATTTTCTTCCCCCCCTCCCTATTTTTGATAAAGGGTCTTACTATGTAGCCTAGGTTATTTTCTTTGTAATTTTTGCATATGTATGAATCTACGTGTGTATATATGTACATGTGAGTATATATATACATCTCTCCGGGTTCTCCATTAATATTTATTTCTAATAAATGGTTATCACCTTTATAAAAAGGTAGACCTTCGCTTGATTTATATGCTCTGTTTGTGTTGTTAATCGGTCTTGACTCAGATAATTCTGCATTTATCAGCATATTTTTCCCAAGGCAGGATCTCATTATGTAGCTTTGACTGTTCTAGAATGCATTATGTACACCAGACTGGACTCAAAATCACAGAGATCCACCTGCCTCTGCCTCCTGAGTGTTGGGATTAAAGGCGTGTGCCAGAATGCCCAGTGCAGCATCTCTTTACGCTAATCAAGTCTCTACAACTAGTAGAGTCTGTTGGGATAAGAGTTCAAGTTTGCCTCCTTTGCAGCACAGGGTCTGGTGAAGGAACGGATGCAAATGTTGGAGCTGGAGAGGCAACTAAGTGGTTAAAAGGATATACTGCTCTTACAGAGAGCCTGCGTTCAGTTCCCGGCACCACGTCAGGCAGCTTAAAACTACCTGTGCCCCCAGCTCTAAGGGATCCGACACCCTTGACTGGACTCACAAGCACACAGCCCCTTATGACACACTCTTGCATAATTAAAATTTAACAAGTCATCAAAGAAACAGTAGCAGAGTGCTCTCATCTCCCCAGGTTATTATTTGCTCGTGGACTTGAATATCTGACCAGGCACATGGCTAGCTGCCTGTCTGCATCCCCCCCCCCCAATTCAGCATTTTCTTTTCACTAAGGTTGATTTGGGGGCATGTTATTTTGGCAGTATTCTTCGCCTTATCACAATTTCTGTCGAGTTTGCAACAGTTTATCTTGATGTGTGTTTATGTGCAGTACAATATGTGCTCTCTTTATCTAACTTATTAAAAGTGCCCTTTAAAATAAAATAGTCAGGAGAGTAGTGATATGATTAAATGTACTTACAAATTTTTCTTGCTTGATAAAGCTATATCTGTTTAATGCTAGGAGATATTATGTAAATTTTGTGGCTTGACTTCAGCAGCTTTTTAGTTATAAGAATAGGCACAGGACTCATCTTAATAAAAATTAATATTATAATTTATATTGTATATTATTGTTGCATATTGTAATAAATGATTAAGACTTTGTCCTAAAAACCATCTTCATTATTTAGAGGCTTAAATGACTTCGAGAAATAATTCCTGTCCCATTCAGAAATAATGGGGGCCTGGGGAAGCAGCTCTGTGGACACAGACAGGGCATACCTGTATGGCTACTACCCTAAAGCCTGGTCTCAGGCCCAGTGCTGTGCAGGTTGGGTGTGGTGGTAACCCCAGCACTTTGGAGGGGGGGTCCTGGAGGATCAGACATTCAAGGGTGCTGGCAACTGCATATCCAGTTCTAGCCTGCAGGAGGCCCTGTCTCTAAATAAATAAAACAGGGTACACTTTTACACTAAGCCATTAGAAAGGAACTAACCTCACTAACAATCTCATTTTCACTTTCTTTTCCTATTTTACAGTAGAAAAGAAGAGAAAGATTGCAGTTGTACAGCCGGAAAAACAGTATGTTTTTTTTTTTCCTTCTCCCCGCCCCACCCAAACTGCATGCTTAGCTACAAAGGACCTTAGTGGTTTCCTTGGGGTGTTAGCTAGCAATCATCTCACCATTGATGGTGACAGCTCTTATTCCTTGTGTGGTTATTATGTGTAAAGTGCAAAGCCCACTCTCAGTGTGCTCTACAGCCCCGTGGTTTTTCTCACATTTTACTCTACACGGATGGAAATGACTGTCCCTGGTACTGATGCTTGGTGGTCTCATACAACAAGTGTAGTTTATGGATGGGGAATCTGTCTGGCCAACCCTGAATGCCTAGAGGGCAAAGACTTCTGTGTCACCCCAGACCGCCTGTCACCCAGCAGGCTGAAAGTCAGAAGCTGCTACACTCCTTCATATCTTAACATCCCCATTTACACTGTTGAGGTTTTTTTTTTTTTTTTAATATTAAACTTAGTTCAATGTGTGACAAGTGCAGGGTTTTCCATTATGGTGTAGATATAGGCTGCAATTTGGGGGGGGGAGGGTATTTTAGGGTAAAGCATTGGACATATGGGCAGGGTGTGTTTGAAAAGTTGGAACTTCCGGTGAGCTTCTTGTACATTATAAAGTATTTAAAATACACCCAGATGTTCCTTCCATCTGCAGTGATCGTGTTTTCTTAAGGAACCAAAGCATATGGTTATAAAGTTAACTGAAACAGCACCTTTTCCTGTGCTCAAGCTTAAAATTAAAGCAAAGGAACGAAGCAAATACAGGCACCAATAATTGAATGAGGACAATGATTCTGAGCGTATTTTATACTGTGGGCCAGGCTTGTAACTTGGCTCCAGTTTATCTGTGTGACATGGAGTAGACAGATTAACACGAGGCTCTTGATTGAGTCCTAATATGCAGTTCTTGGATTAATGATTTTCTCACCTCTCACGAATTGCTGGGCCCCCTTCTTACGATTTCTGCTTTAGGACATCTGGGGTGTGGTCTGAGATTCTGGATTTCTTCAGTTCCCAGCTGATGCCAGTTCTGTAGGCTCAGGGAACCACAGTCTGACATCCACTGTAGCAGAGGATGCTCCCCTCCCCATCCTAAGATATCTGGTGATGACTTATATGACATTTAGGGCAGTTTTCAAAAACCGTGGTTGCTCTGCAGCCACATAGGCACAGAGGAAGGTTGTCCAAAGCCACCTGAAGGTTGCTTTCAATTAAACACTACATTGAAAAAGTCTGACATTAATTATACGTCAGTTGGATCTGGAATGTAATTGAAGGCCTTATTCTAAGTTCAGAAGAGTCTCATTGATCAGGGCTGGCCACTCGGGGGCACTTGTGCCCTAGACTTTTAGGGTCATCAAATGGATTTGAAAAGCAACTTTCCAAAATGACCTCCTTCCATAGTTACTGATGCTACTCTTGTATCCACAGCCTACCTTACAATGACTCTCGGGCTTCCTTCCTTTCTGACGTAGTCCTTTTAAATAATGAAGAGATTTCACAGTGCCCTGCTTCCTTCTGTTCCCTGTAATAGTTGATTTTCTATATCCACAGATTGTCATCCACAGTGCCTGTTGAGAAAATACCTCATGACCTCTGCTTATTCCCCCACGTGGACGCCACAGGTAAATGGCCCAGGAAGGACTCTGTCTCGCCCCACCGTGTGGCCGTGACGGGAGTTACTTTAGTCACCGCATCTCAGCTTTGAGCCTGTTGTCTTTTCCTTTGTTGCCACTCGCTGACACGTATACATCTTCAAATTTTTTGTTAGGCTAAAGTTGTACTTCCTCTTTTCTACTGTTTGGCCAGGAGCTGTGGACAGGTCCCGTAATCTTCAGGAAAAGGATCTGTTTGGTGTTTGGCCATTACAAATCAGATTAACATTCTGTGTCACGGACCACGGTGAAGGAAAGGAAAACGTGGAGCAGTAGTGTTGAGCATTTCTTTCTTGCCATTTTATCACAGTTCTGCTTGACTCTTTAGAGACATGGTCTTGTCTTACAGCCCAGGTTAGCCTTGAACTCTCAATTCTCCTGTCTCAGCCTACCAAGTACTGGGATTCCAAATGTATGCCACTGTCTCTGGCTTCTCCATTTGCACCTTTGCCTGAGTGACCTTTACACCCCCCCCCCCAACTTTTTGATTTATTCAATCAAATCTGAGTCTGAGAAGCTGATTATGACAGATAGATTTGTCAACACATTGTTATATCTTTGTGAGATTGTGAACTGCCATTGGACCACCAAATGTGATGCAGATATGATGTCTGCATGAACTGATTCTTGACTCAGGCTTCTGTGTTCTTAACCAAGCAAAATCTGCTTTGAATTCCAGGACTATGGTCTACATGCTATGAATGCTCCCATTAGCTGATGCTCTCTTTGCAGTAAATAGAACAATTTTATAAGTAGGTTAGATGGACACTTAACTAAAAGTCTGGTTAATACTACCAAGAATTTTAAGGAAATTCAGTTGTGAAGTTAGTTATCTAGCTTGTTGTGTAAAATGCAAGTTTCAAAGTGCTTTTTTTTTTTTTTGAAAACCACATCAGCTGCTGTTTTATAGCCCACTGCAGTTATATTACTCTTTTTCATACCTGCCTCCTGTCTACTGGATCTGAAGTTTAAGAAACTGGCCTTTCCAAACTGTTAAATTACCTTCCCATAAATGGTTGTATTTGTGAAATAATATCACAATATCCATATCTGTGGCATATGTTGTGTAAGAGCCGAGTGAGTAGATCAGAGAGTAGGTCTCTTAGCCCAAAGAGAGATTTAATTATTTATTATAAACACCAAGAAATTTTAATCAAACCAGATGAGGTGGTTCAGCACTTGGGAGCCTAAAGCAGATGAGCTGTAAGTTCCACAGCAGTCTGGGTTACAGAGCTGGAGACCTAATATGCCCCACTGCGTGTGTCAAAAGGATGGGAGTTCAAGCCACGGTCGGGTGTAGTTTCTCTCTAGCATATTGGCAACATGGAGAAGCCTAACAATGCTTAGTTGGCCTGGATGTGGGACAGCAGCAATGCTAACATGATGCTGTTGGGAATCTCACTGGAGTCGTCACTGTAGGGAGCCGTGTGGTCATCGTTACTGAGATGTGGCTATGCGGATGGATGGACAAGCCAATGCTGCTATGTCCTTACACAAATACCCAGCCCATAGCAGAAGTCGATATTTGAAGACACATTCCTTAAGTCATTACCAGAAACTCAGGAAAAGTAGCAACAGCTAAGTATTTGTAAGAGAAATGACAAATCATCTGGTATGACCATAAGAGGAGCGAATCATGGATAGAAGTAAACACTTCTTGTTTCAAGTTTGTTGGTAAATTCCATATAATGTTATTGGCTGACTCTAGGAAACTTAAGCAAACTAACAAAATCTGACAGAAAACCACCCTTGAGATGTTTTTTTGTAAAGATCCCAGAAACATAACACTTGTTGCACATATCCATGAGCAGAGAAATAAAGTTTATTGATTTGTATGAGAATGATAACTGGCATATTTCAGGATGGTGGTTACTTCTAGGGCAGAGGTTTTCAACCTGTGGTCCATGACCCCTTTGGATCTCCTAAGACCATAAGAAAAGACAGATGTTTTATGAGTTATAGTAGTAACAAGATTGCAGTTATGAAGTAGCAATGAAAATAATTTTGTGATTAAGGTCACCACATGAGGAACTGTATTAAAGAGTTGCAGCCTTAGGAAGACTGAGAACCATTGCTCTAATGGCAGTGAGGGGAGTTGCTGGGGTAGAACTTACAGGGAATCCTATCTCTATGCCAGTCTTTGTCTTTGAGCTGGGTAATAATTCCCAGTTTGTCACTGTTATAGACTACTTCCTTCTGTAATTCAGATGCTATATAATCTACAGAAAAGTCTGTGTTTACATAATGGAAAAAATAAGCAAAGTGTAAAAAGTGTAAAAGTGTAGATCTTAAGACACTTTTGCAGATCTGACAGTGAGCTGGTGTTAGGACACCTGTGTCCTAACTTTTCTCCAAGGGGAAACCACTTTTCTCTCTGTCATACTTTGAAACTAAAGCCAGCCTGCTTAATTAAGAATCTTAAGAGCTCTAGCTCCTGGGGAAGCGGTGGCCACTCCGAGTTATTTCTACTTCAGATTTTCCACCAGTCAAGACTAGATGTTTGGATCGAGCACAGGTCTTGACTGCGCCATAAAGTCCCAGTAAAGCAATCCCCAACATCCACTGTACCGTTCATTCTCTCCCAGCAGGGACTGTCAATGGGAAGTACTGCTGCCCACAGCTCTTCGTCAACCACCGGTGTTTCTCAGGCCCGTTCCTGAACAAAGGGAGGATCGCAGAGCTACCTCAGTCCGTGGGACCTGGCAAGTGCGTGCTGGTGCTTAAAGAGGTAAGATGTGTGAGCTGTTCTCACGTTCTTAACTTGTGGCTAAGTTTCCAAAGGGGATGTCTGATCCCTCAAGTGATTCAGTTTAGCTCACATCCAGCAAAGCGCCACAGTCTCTGGGGATGGACCGCTAGAGATTCAAATGTGAAAGAATGGCATCCCTACCCATGAAAGACTCCCAGTCTAATCAACATGCTTTCCCCCCACGAGTTAGTGATATATTCAAATCAAGTGCTCTAGGAAGGCAGGAGAATGAATATGTGGAGTGAATACTTGGGACCAAATAGTACAAGGTTTTCAAGGAGGAAGGTACCTTATATAGCCAAGCGAGACCTCATACGGCAAGATAAAATGGCGGGCACATTTTTGTTTCCTTTTCCCTGTCTGCTTTTTTAAAGACAGGGTTTCATATATTTTGGTCTGACCTTGAACTCACTATCAATGCAGTGTTGACCTAGGATTCCTTATGCCCCTCTCTCCACCCCAATTTAGGAATTAAAGGTATACACCACTACCCAAGTTTTAATGTAGTGATGATATCTAACCCAGGACTTCCTGCATTCCGCCAGCTGAGCTACCAGCCCAACCCAAGTGGCATCTTTGCTGTCTTCTCCCTCCACAGTGCCTGCCTGCCACCTGCACTTAGACAGTAATAACCTGCCTGGTTTCTAAATTTGATCATGAGTTTTGTGTTGTTGATTGATCCAGGCCAAGCCCTGGCCACTCATGACTTGGAGAGTACTTTCTATTTCCTTTCTATTTGAGGAGGTGACCTGTGGTAGAGGCTCACCTCAAAGAAGCAAATAGACATCGGAGGTCCTTTTACGACATTGGTTTTGTTTGTTTGTTTGTTGTTTTTGTTGTTGTTGTTGCCTTAAGACAGGGTTTTTCTGTGTAACAGCTCTGGCTGTCCTGGAACTCTATTTGTAAACCAGAATGGCCTTGAACTCACAGAGACTCACCTCCGCCTCCCAAGTGCTAGGATTAAAGGCACGCACAACTACTGCCTGGCATAAACAAACTTCATTTTACGAAGTTTTTGTGTGCATTGGTGGTTTGCCTGCATGCATGAGAGTCTCTGAACTAGAGTTAACAAAGAGTTGCGAGTTACCATATGTGGGTGCTAGGAACTGAACCTGGCTCAGCCCAGCTTCTTTGGAAAAACAGCTTGTGCTCTTAACCACAGAGCCATCACTCCAGCCCTACTTCTACTGCATCTTACTGGCGCAACTTCAGATGGTATCTGGTGACCCACTGGAATAATGAAAGTTTCCAGGCTTTTCAGGGAATTCTCTGCTCTTGTCCTGCACACACCAGGGTTCCCGTTAAGGAAAAGGATGCCAGTGTGACCTATCTATTGCTGCTGTGCCGGAATGGATGCTTTTTAAAGCACAGTTCTATGGCCACACAACCCATTTACCCATTGATGTATTATTTACCAGGCAGCTTCTAGGAACCAGGCGCTATCGCTATCTGAACCACTGGATTAAAACCCAGCACCGTTAGGCTTCTGTGTTTCCCATTTGATGTTGGGAAAATTATATGATCCAAAACTTAACAAACACAGTAGAGGGAAAATGGATGGAGGGGACCAAACATGGCAGGTGACATTTTTCTTGGCAGAGGTAAAATGCAATCTCAACCATACAGCATGGATGATGGGCAATGGGGAAGATTCTGGCGAGCAGGTCGGGTCTGGCTGAAACAGAGAACGTTAGGCTATGGCTAACCAATAGATATAAAAGGCTGTGCTATATTTTAAGAATAAAACCCAAGAGGGCTTTGGGTGGTGTGGTGCTTCATTGTTGAGTAGCACCAAGGAGCTCAGAGGAAGCCGTGTGTGAGCAGCTCTCTTTGGTATTGCAAGCAGCTTGAATGTGAAGCCTGGTTTGTGGGGATTTCTCAGAGTCACAGCAGGGTGATGTGACTGGACTGTGGAGATGGTGGCATAGATTGTTTGCCTGTGATAGTGCCTGGTATTGACAGGTCAGGGGCACCAAACCTAACAAAGATTCAGTGACTGATGGAGTTTCTCATTCATGTGGCAGGTTCTGGTCGCTAACAGGAGACTTTCTATTGTCTGCCAGCTGAGTTAACTAGCAACAGGACCTTGGCTTCATTCTCTCTTTAGGGACTGGCTATCTTACTTGTCTAAATTATTTTCTTTCAAGTCCAAAGAAGTTACCCCAATCATTTTCTGATAGAATGCCAGTCACCAAATGTAAAAGCCTAGCGAGGAGCAGTGTTCTGATGGTTAAAAATGTCTGCAGAGTGGTGGGAGGAGAAATAAATAAATAAAAGCTAGCGCCTCAGTTCTGGAAGTGGAAGAAAAATGTAAGTTCCACCAAACCAATATTTATGCTAATGTTCTTCCTTTGGTGCCAGAGCCTCTGCATGGCTTCAAATTTCATTCTGCTTAAAGAGAACGAGGCAATTGAAGCAGAGACAGAACACCTTGCTTTTCCGGGCCATCAGCAGTATTGGAAATTGAAACCCTTTTGTATCTTCAGAAAATGTGAAATGAGGGTTGTTTTCTCTGTGTCTCATCTGCTCTAAGTAGATAGTGTCTGTAGGTAGATGTAGGGCTGGTGTTTGGAAAGGCTAGCTGCAAACTTAGGAGAGGAGGTTCTAAGACATGTGTGAGGGGGTCTGTAAGACAGAAGAAGCTTCTAGAAAGCAGTGGCTAAACCATGCATCAACTTGTTTTCTGGATATTAGACTTAGGAGAGCTCTGTAGAGACCCAGAAAGCCATGCATGACTGACCTTGACTTCCGAGATAGTATTGAGAAGAGATAGATTTAATTAAGCTGGACCCAGAATCCATCCAACTCCCAACATCCTATAAAGTAAACTCGGGACCTGAAGTGGGTCTTGACCTTCTGTTGTTAGGGACCAAGTCAAGTCTTATGAGGACTCCTTATGTGCTGGGCCACTTTATGGGTACCATAGAATTATCAATGACAGATAATAGTGATGGCATTTGTCATAAACATGAATGTTCAGTAAAATCATTGCTAAGTGGGAGCATCAATTTATAACTCAGATCATTCTAACCTGATGTCTTCTCCAGTTTGTCAAGGTCCCTAATAGGTAAACCATGGATTTACATAGTATTATTCTAAGACTGTTAGTATCTTGTACCATCCTATGAATCACATGGCTTACTTGTTGTGTTTAGTTTATATGCAGTGTGTTACTGGGGTGTGCACATCCTCATAGTAAAGGGAGAACCAGCCACCAGGGACATGAAACTAGAGAAGCAGAATGTCTCGTCTGCTGACTCGTGTCAGCGTGTCCTGAGATGAGTACCTCAACTTCTGATGATATTCAGCCGGCCATCACTCTGTGGTTGCATTAGCTTTGCAGAGGTGTTACCTCTCTTCTTTGTCAGCCTGGACTGTAGAGCTAAAAAAAAAAATGAAATAGAGGGGAAACCAATACATTGTAAATATTATTAGAACTTAAGAACATCATAATCTTGTCTTCCCTCTTTCTTCTGCTGCTGCTAGCTAATTCTTAGAAGAAAGGTTCATAGAGCCTGTACCTATAGGGAACATTTGGATGTGATGAGCCTTCGTGAATGTATCACTTCCTTGGAGGCAACAAGTCTCCGCAAGTGTACCACTTCCTCGGATGTGATGAACCTCTCTCTGAGTATGTCACTTCTGTGCTGTGTGACTTTCTGCCCTAGTGAGTTGAGGTTGCTGGCGAAGCGATGAGTCTTGTAGGCATGAGTAGGGTCCAGAGACTAAGTGTGATCATGTATATCAGGTCTACCAAGATGGTGTCCTTTTTTGGATTGAAGAAATAAATATAATCCTGCTCCACACTGTCCTAGTTTACCCACTCCGTTATCTCCATATTCCACCTTGTTTTCCCTGTCTCTGTATCTGCTACCTATTTATCTGCTTATCTAACCATCTGTCTATCATCTGCCTTCTAGTATCCATCTAACCGTCTATCATCCGCCTTTTAGTATCCAACCTCTATAGTTTTCAATCTATTTGTCCATCCCCTACCATCTATATATGTCTGCTATCTGTATCTTTGATCTTTGTTAGCATCTGTCATCCTGTCCATCTATTTATTCAGCCAACATCTAGCTCTATGATGTTTATTATATCTATCTTACTTATCATCTGTCTTCATCATCTATCATCATTATGTTATATACCTATTATATATTTACAGCCATTTATTTATATCTATACATCTACCTGTTTATCACCTACCTATCATAGTATCTGTGTGTCATCTATTACCATTGTTATCCTCTGTCAAATACTTGTACCTATCTCATCATTTATCCTCTGTTTATGCATCCCTAATGCGTGAAGTCAAACAGCAATCTAATTGTGGAGCTGATGGTAAATGAGGATGGCTGTCAAGTCATGTTCGTCAGTGAAATGGAGAGAAGTTGGCATTAAGTAACAGGGATGGTATTATTAATTCTTAGTTTTTATTAGCGTCTGTTAAAAATAATGGATTTCATTTTGATCTTTTCTTGTGTATATTTAATGTATTTTAATCGTATTTACTCCTGAATATATCCATCTAATTCATCCCGCTTCTTACTGAGACTTTCCTCTTTTCAGCTAGTCTCTTCTACTTTAATATTTCTTGACCAATCAGTTAGGGTTCCGTATAGTAATGTGGTGAGAGGTAGCTTGAAGGCAACTTACCCATGGCTGCATCACTGAGGAAAATGACTCTTGTCCCAGCAACCTTTAACTGGAGGGCACTCAAAGGAGGTTTCTGTGAAGGGACTTTTGGAAAGAAGTCCTGAGAGAGAAAACGAATGGGCCTTATGGATATTGTCCTATTTCATGACAGTAGCACACCTGAGACCACAGGCTTATTAAAAAAAAAAAGAATATGTGGGCTCAGAGTCGCTGGGCTTCCAGTTGGTCCAGTTGCTTTGGGATCCTTGGTGATGTAGTTCCATCATGGCAGAGAGTACATGCTGGAGGAAAGCTGTCCACCTCCACGCTTTGAAGTGCTAAAGAGAAAGAAGATGGGTTAGGATTCCTTCATCCCATTCCGGGACATGTTCCTAGTGACCTAGAGATTCTCCTACCTCTCAGTGCTGTCTGGCATTGGGGATCAAGCCTTTCCCACCTGGGCTTTAAGGGCCTTACAGATCCAGTGCTTAAGAGGTCTTACTATAGTTCCCACCCAATGTGGCAGGAAGCAAATAAGCAGGGAACTAAGAGTGTCAGGAACCTGTCCCTGCAGGGTCACAGAAGCTGTGCCCAGTGTGGTAGCAGCCATAGGGAAGATGATGAGGTAAATGTATGTGCTCCACAGACAAATGGAGAAAGTCATCTTGCCCAGAGGCCTTGTGGCTTCCCGAGGATTTAACTGAGATTTGATCCTAGGTATATCCAACTAGAGAGGTCATTGCTTTTCTCCTGTAACCCATGGAGGGGGACTTGCTTATGGGGTGTATTCTCAACATTCCAAAGTCTAAGGGATGCCGTGAGCCATTGCTTTGCAGTGTGGATTTTCAATTGGAGTTGCTCAGACAGAGCTTGGTTGACAAGTTTCCTTAGTTGAGGATAGGCTTCATGCTGTTTCTGATCTCTTACGGAGAACAAACTGAATTGTCTTCTGATAGTTTGTGAGGCAAAGTCATTTGGTTTAACTCTGCCTAGTGATATCTATCTTCTTAGTTTTTATTCGTTCATTTGTGTGTTTGTGTCTACTATGCCTGTATGTATATTGCTGGCATGCACCTGGAGAGGTGTGAATGCATTTGGAGGCCTGAGATACCATCTTCTTTTGTGTTCATGGAGTCAGCACCCTTATGATATGGCTAGTCTGGCTAGCCAGCTTGCTCTGGGATCTCCTGTTTCCGTCTTATGAGACTGGGATCACAGGTGAACTGCCACACCTAGCTAGCATTTATGTGGGTCCTAGGGACCAAACTCAGGTCTTCATACTGTCTGGCCAGCTCTTTGGCCCCTGAGCAGCCTCCCAAGCCCCCATGGAGTTCTTTTTATGGGGCAGCTGTATTTTCCTCAGCAATCATGGATGCAGCCAGTGTGTGTATCAGCACTCACATCGGAGAGAACCTTGTTGAGTTTGAAGACAAATGGGCTGGTATTGGGGAAAACCATGAGAAAAAAGAATCCAGTATCGGGTACCTTTCTAATTTAATTACTGCTTGGTTCCGGGCTGAGTTGAACTCTGGAAGACAAGTTCTGATCCTATTCACAGTCACCAACCGCATTCTGATATGCAGCAAATGACAACGTAGCTCTAGGGTTTTCTCCGCGAGTCACAATGAAGAGAAGCAACTGAAATGTTATTGCCTGGTGATAAATGCTTCACATGTTACTACAGCCAGCTCTAATTAGATTTATTTTTAAACTCAGCTTTTAAAATTGTACTGATGGCAAACAGAAAAAATCAGATGGTTGTTTTAATGTAGAAAACAAAATGTACCACAACAGTCTGTATTGCCTTGTTCATTCTAGCCCCTAGGTTCAAGTATGCCTCTTGTGAGGGCGAGTCAGAGCCCTTGGGACAAAGCCCAGTGCCACCTAGGACAAAGTGGGTTTCATACTCACTATATAATACAGTTTGTCTCTCTTTGGGTGGAAGTGTAAACGGTCATGGTTGCATACATGTTTGGGAAGATATAGGTGTATATATGTGTGAGTACATGTGGTGGCCAGAAGTCAACTTCGGGTATCTTCCTCTGTCACCTTATTTCTTGAGACATAGTTTCAAAACCCGGAACCTGGAACCCACCAATTTGGCTAGCATGGTAGGCAAGCAAGCTCCAGGGATTGCCTGCCTTTGTCTTCTCAGTGCTGGTGTTACAGGTGCCTGCCACCACGCCTGACTTCATATGTAGGTACTGGGACTTGAACTCAGATCCTCATATTTGTGTGGCAAGTGCTTTACCGATGCAGCCGCATCCCTATCTCTGAAAGCTTCAGGCTATATCCACCCCAACCAATATTTTCCTGAATATCCTTCTGTCTCCCCTTTTATGTTGACTGATTTCCTCCCAAAGGAGACGTGGTGGCGGTCATGCTTCTCTCTCATCTTGGAATTAGTTTTCTCACTCTCTATCATATTCTGCCGTCAAACATGCAGTATGTGCCTCCAGTCTGACGTGACTACTCATACCTTTTCTGACCCTGGGTAAACTCAAGGGACAGTGCCATGTAATTCTCCTACCTCTCTGTATTCCTGGCATCCCCTGGAGCTGTCACAGGTGGCCACTTTGTGGAATATAACCCCTGATTCCCTGATTTGCTGTTGACTGTATCTGGTTATCAGGAGCTTGGAGTGTGGCAGAGCTTGTGAATGTCAGGAGCTAATTGTGCAGACATGCTGACACATTCCTGGACTTCCGGCTCTGGATCAGAGTTAGGGGTCAGCTTTGGCTGCATGAGGGGCTCTTTCCAAAATACAACAAGTGAATCATGACTTGCGGAGTGAGAGGCCAGTGCCCAGAAGATCTAAGTTCCTTGATTGTTTTAGTAAATAGGCACACTGAGATTACTAGGAGCGCCTCTCTTCACTAGAACCTGCTCCGTTGGCCCTTAGTATGTATAGAGATCTCTGGTCATTCTGGGCACTTTGCTGTAGTCAGTCTCCACATATTTATTTTCTTGTACTTCAGACTTGGAAATGAGATTTGAACACATATGACATGGATGATGTTAATGCTCTAGACCAGTGCTTCAACCAATACCCAAGCACACTATCAAATCAAATGCCCATAAGTTGAGGCTTTATCAGCTTTCAGGAACTTCGCCCACTCCTTACAGGCAACTGAAGTCTCCACTGCAGTGTGAGCCCAAACATAGTGTTTGCTTCTCTGGTTACATAAAAAAAATTGCAAGATTTAATGTTTATCTTTAATTAGTTATATTTGAGGGGCTGTGCACATGAATACAGATGTTTGCGGAGGTTAGAAGAGGGTGTTGGATCCCTTGGAGTGGGAATTGCAGGCAGTTGTGAGCTGCTAGACATGGGTGCTGGGAACCAAACACAGGTCCTTTTGCAAGAGCAGTACCTGCTCTGAGCCATTGAGCCATTTTTCCAGACCCCATCATGGGTCTTCCAAGACAGAATGAAAAATCTCAGGACCCTAGTGAAGAATCCCCCTGTTGGGAGGAATAATGAACTGAAGAGTTCTCGAGCATCAGGCCCTCCCACTAGCGAGCGGTTTCCAGTTTCCAAGCCAGGATGGCTTGTTTTTATGTTTTCTAGTTGATGAGTTAGTTCCCTGTTTGCTCAGAGTGTCCTATTAGACATCATCAGAGCCCTTCACTTAATGAGATGTAAGGCAAAAACCTCTTGTCAACAGCGTTGTTTCCGACACCTTGTCAAACTCAGCAGGAATGGACACAGTTGTGGCTGATTTGGTGGTATCTTCCTCCCCGCAGGTTCTCAGCATGATCATCAATGCAGCCTATAAGCCCGGGAGGGTACTGCGAGAACTGCAGCTGGTAGAAGATCCCCACTGGAATTTTCAGGAGGAGACCCTCAAGGCAAAGTAAGTGTTTTCGATTCTGGGAAACAAGGGATGTGTGATATCTGCCCTGCTGTTTTGAAACTTCTCATTCCTTGATTTGCCATCACCGGACAGAAGGTCCGTGGTCTCTCACCTCCTTGTGCCACATGTAGTCTTACTGTCTGCATTAGTTTTTATGATCTCTGTGACAAAATACTTAATAAAAACAACTTACGAAGTCAAAGATTTATTTTTCCTCGTGGCTTCAAGGAGTTCAGGCCATGCTCAGGCTCCATTTCTAGGTCTATGCTGAGACAGAATGTTGTGGCAATGGGACAGTGTGGCAGAGGTTACTTCGCAGTGGGAAGGAAGTCAGGAGAGAAGAGGGATGAGATGATTAAGTATAATCTTCTAAGACACTTCCCCCAATGACCTGTTTGTGCTAGCTTGGTACCACCTTCTAAAATCTCTGCCACCTCCTTAAATACAACTGTCAGCTAAGGACCAGATGTTTAATAAATGGACCTTAGAGGGACATTTCACATCCAAACTGTAACAGTGACATTTCTGCTGTATTGAGCTGCTATATTGAGATTGCTAGTATGAAATGCAGATTTGCTTAACTAATATTTTGTGTATGTATGTTTTTATGTATATGTGTGCTTTGTATATGTACGTGTGTTATGCAAGTATGTATGGAGGCCAAAGAGCATCGTCATTTGACAGTTTGGTGACTTGTTGAGACAGGGTCTCTCATTTATCTAAGTTTGCCAAGTAGGCTAGGCTTGCTGGACAACAAGCCCCAGATGTCTTTTCTGTTTCTCCATGCCAAGCTTGAAGACTACAAGTATACATAATCTCATCTGGCTTCTTTACATGAAGTTTAGGGCTTGAACTCAGGTCTTTGTGCTTGCAAGGCAAGCATTTTACCGGCTAAGTCATCTCCACAGCCCCTTAAGTAATAATACATTTTAATTGCTAAGCATCCAAAAAAATCTTTTGTGTTTCTAAGCCAAAAAGTGATTTATTAAAAATGAGAAAAACATAGATGTCAGTGGTAAAAGACAGATGTCAGTGATGTCCCCTGTCACCATTGCAGGATGTTTGTTATTAGTGTTCAATGTTTGCTCTTATGACCTGCTTGTACCACATAAAATGGGATGGACAAAAGTTGAAGATAGAAGAAACTGATACATCGATTTGACTTACATTGGATAAAATGACAATGAGGTCTGGATTCACATATTAGGTGACTTTCTTCTTTTATTTGGAAATGGGGAAGGTGGCAAGTTTTCGCTTCATTTAAAATCTCCTCCTCCTCCTCCTCCTCCTCCTCCTCCTCCTCCTCCTCCTCCTCCTCCTCCTCCTCCTCCTTCTTCTCTCTCTCTCTCTCTCTCTCTCTCTCTCTCTCTCTCTCTCTCAAGAGTTTTCAAAGGTAGGGCCTCTATTAGTCAACTCAGCTTTTTTAAAATTTTTTTTTGAATTTTAGTTAATTTAGTTAACTAAGTTGCCCAGACTAGCCATGCGTGCCATGCTTCTTGGGAGACATTGAACTTGAGATCCTCCTGCCTCAGCTCCTTGAGTAATTGGGGTTGCAGGCATGTGCCAGCACACCTGTCTTGCTTTGCATTTCTACACCTCTGAAAGGAAGAGCAGGAACCTGGGCGCACTAGCTCTTGGTTATAGAGGAGACCGTAGGGAAAGGTCCCTGTCCCTGTCTCAGGAGAGCTTCATGCTGAACGTTACTTAGTGTCTGACGAGGCTGTTAGTTTTTTGTGGGTTTCCATATTGCTCTATGGGTAGCCAAGGAAGATCTTAGACTTTCCATGCACCTGCTTGTACCTTCCAAGTGTTGGCATTGCATGTATGCACCAGCGAATGCAGTTTAAGATATGGGGATGGAAGCCAGAGCCTCATGCATGATCTCTATGGCCTCCGTTAATAGTTTTTCCTGGTTCCAGCCATGGGACCAGTGAGACAGTTTATGGTCAGCTGCCTACTCAGCATTCCGGGTGTCTCTTTCGATCAGCCCTGTTATCTTCAATTTCATAAAAGCCATTTATGGTCTAATGATGCCCTGCCCAGGCACAAGGGGAAGAGAATGAAGGACAATAAAGAGGGTTTATTTCTACAAAGCAAAAAGGCAGTGACAGGCAAAATTACATGTCATCATTCCAAGAAAGTCTTACAGGAGCTTCACCCATAGCACAGAAGAAACAAAGCAAGTTTTTTTTTTCCTTTTAATATTCCATATTCCATCTTCTCAGAGGAGGGCCGTCTGTCGTAACAGCATTTTTTTTTTTCAAGCTGATGCCGAAGACTCCAGCAAGTGTTCATGCAGAGATACCCTTATTCCTCACTTTCGACTTTTTCTGTACCATTCACTGTACCCCAGAGGTACCTAACAGCTATGGAAATAACCAGAACACAAACATCTTAAGTCTCATTAAAAGCACTGCTCTCCCTAAATCAGCCAGAAACCATTCCATGACAGGAAGAGTTCATTTTGCAAGTGTTTGCACTTATTTCCATGTTACTGAGTCGATGGGAGCTTTTATTAAATTCAGCCTGATAGAATTGAAACAGACACCTGGCTTTCCATCCTGCTCAATTACAAAGGCAACATATTACCTCCTCTATCAAGGATGGCAGGGAGGTCCTCAGCAAAACCCTACCCAGCATCTTCTCAGGAGGAAATGTCTGTCTGCTCGGGGATTTCTTCATCCCTGATCGTAGCTTTCCTTCTAAGCAGCTGCTATTGATGACGGCTTTCCAGTCCTCAGGAGCCCGCTGGTGACGGTTCTCTGGGGTGTGTCACCCTCTTTCTTTCTCATGGCCAGCGGCAACCTTCTAGACCATGACAGCTTGACTGTGCTTTTCTCTGTGCAAATGGGAGGAGACTGGAGCGTGAGCCAGCCTCTTCCTCCGCGTGGAAAGGCAGGAGTGTTCTCTACTGTAAATGAATTTACTTAACAGACCTGACATTTGAGATTGTAGCTGCCCTCACTGTCTGAGCTGAACTGTAATGCTACAAGTGTCTTCAGGCAAGGGCCTGTGATAGTCCCCAGGGAGTGTTTGTTGTCACATGGCTTCTATGATTGCTCATTGTTTTGTTTCTCTTTTTAAAATGTTTTTATTAGCATATTATATATATACACACATATATGTATATATATAAATAATAGTTTTATTAGGACATTTCCTTTTGTGTATATGAGGCATTTTGATTGTATTTCTCTTCATTACCTTCATTTATCTCCAACTCACTTCACAGATCCTGTTCTTTCTATTTGCCCTTTCACTTCATCCTCCTCCTGGTCCTCTTCCTTCTGGTCCTCCTCATCCTGGTCCTTCTCCTCCTGGTCCTCCTTCTCCTCCTGGTCTTCCTCCTTCTGGTTCTCCTCTTCCTGGCCCTCTTCCTCTTGGTTCTCCTCCTGGCCCTCCTCCTCCTGACCTTCCTCCTCCTGGTCCTCCTCTTGCTTCAAGATCTAGTGAGTTTCATTAGTATTCCTTAAAGGCACATGGGTAAGAAGTTTTTACACAAGTATGACCAGCACCAGCCGCTGCACCACAGAGTCAAGTCTCTTCCTCATTTGCTATTTTTTAATTCTTTTATGAGGGGATCGTATTTTTCTCAAAGAATACATAGATGCTTTTCCTAACAAGATAAATGTGCCTTCCAGAAGATTTTCACCTGTAGATAAGATACCACCCAGCACGATCATGTGCAGCAGTCTGTTGGTATTTTCCCTCACTTTTCCATCAATCACACCTTTTCGCATTACTGAGGAGATGGTTGCAGGGTTGGGATGGCTGTAAGAAGTGTGCTTTGTCATTGTTCCTCAGCATGTGTCTGGACAGTGGGAAAAAGCATTCTGACATCATTTGCTGCAGCCGTTTTGTAATGGAAAAACTTCCTCCTAATAAATGTAAATATTCCAAGCCACCTGCATTATCCTGAATTTTAAGATGAGAAAAAATTTACTCTCTCCTTTAGGAGGGATCTAAAACAATTGAATTTTTTTTCAATATATCGCAGTTTCTTTCTATCTTCCCTCTTCTTTGAATGGCTTTGAGCCTGTGTTAGGGAAGCTGGGTGGACGATCCACAGATTTTTTTTTTCAGGCTCTTGTTGCAGCTTTGTTCCACGTCATAGCCCTGTGGGCAGAGGCAGGGGGCTAAGCGGGACCTTGTTTGTGTGTGAGTTGTGTTAACTGTGGAGCACTCATCTCTCCCACGGCGGTGGCTGCCTTTGCCATCCCTACTTTCTCCCTCCTGTGCCCCGTGAGCCATTTCACAGGCTTCTGTGTTATGAACAGAAGGATGTAATATTACACCATTCTGTGGATCTGTGTGAAAAAGGATTCCCAAATAGAGAGGGTATTCACTACAACAGGTGTGTGTGTGTGTGTGTGTGCGCACGCGCGCGCATGCATGCTCCTATGTTAGTTTTTGTTTTCATGGCTCAGAGGAGGACGACAATTTGCACTCCTGGAAATTCATCTGGTGAACTGAACGCAAAGTCAGTGACTGCCTGATTGAGGAGCTTACTGCGTTGGGGATGTGAGTGAGGTGTTAGGAGTAAATGAGCCAGCCATGTAGCTCGGGGAGACACTTGCTTAATGAGCTTGGGGTCATGGGTTTCACAGCAGTGTGTGTGTGTGTGTGTGTGTGTGTGTGTGTGTGTCACAGTCTGTGTGTCACTATGTGACTGCGTGTTTGTCACAGTCTGTGTTGTGTGTGTCAAAGCACATGAGTATCTTTCTGTACATGTGTGTGTGTGTCTCAGATGTGTGTTGCATCTGGGAGCTGAGGTTTCAGAGCAGTAAGACTGTAAGGGTGGCTTTCTGTGACTCGGCTGTACAGTGTGCTAGGCTCTTGCTTTCTTGCTAGACTCTGGGATTTGCTTTGTGTTGGGCCAGAAAAGTCAAGTTCTTGCCCTCTTGTCCAAGTTCTTAGATGCCAGCCAGAGGTACCTGAGGCTTTCCTGATGACCAGCACCTCCAGGCCAGGTGTGGCCTAAATCCAGATTCTTGTCCCAGCCTACTATGCCAGCATGATCCTGGCTTTTTAGTACCATGTTCAGCTCCCGCCTCTGACAGCAGGAAACCTGCTGTAAACACACAGTAAGAAGCAACCTTAGGCAAGAAGGGCTTACTTGCTTTGGCTCATAACACAAGGCCACAGTCCATCGTGGTGGAGAGCATGCTCTTGCTCTGGTGGCAAGACCTGAGGAAATGGGTCACCTTCGATCTATGGTATGGAAGCAGAGATGAATGCCGGTCTCAGCTGGCTTTCCCTTGCTCCTTTGTGTTCAGTGTAGGACCATAACCCATGGGATGGTACCGTCTGTGTTCACTGTGGCCCTTCTTTTGTCTCTCTGGAAACCTCCTCACAGAAATAGCCAGGGCTGTGTCTTCTGGATGATTTGAATCCAGTTGACAATGACTTGACAATGACTCTTAGCCATCACACCTGCAGATGCTAACTTCAGTACATTGTTCGATCAGGTGCCAACTCCACCTCAGTGTCCTCCCTCCCCATATAACTAGTCTCATATGACAATGGCCTCCTCACCCCTACCCCCACCGCAGCCTCCCTTAGCCCAGTGCTAGTGCCCTCTGGAAGACTGTAGGAAAGAGACCATTGGTAGGGAGGAGAGGTGTGAGATTCGGCAGGTGGCTAGCGACTTTCAGGGATACCTATCATCAGTGGCTCATGGGCAGCTATGGGATTAAAGACGCCAAGTTGATTGTCTTGGGCCCAATCACCAAGCCTTTTTTGCTTCCTCCATAGTCAGTGGCTAGCTAGATGGGAGGCGCTCAGCTTTGGGCAGTGGAGGCAGATCCTCAAAGATCCATAGTTGATTCTGTGTGGCTGTAGCACCCTGCCCGCCAGAGTGGGGACAGCCAGGCTCTGGAGGAGCAGTGTCTTGTCAGGTTACAGACCCTACCCAGTACTACACTCTCCTTCCTCAGTCCCTCCAGCACCATGGAATCTAGATATGTGAAAGAAAGCCATCATTATTTGACCGTGATTTAATTCACATTTCAGTACATTTAGATGGGCTTTTCCTAATTCCGGGAGATGTTAGTGAAACACTCGCTTCATTATATCACAACACAATGACATATGTATGTGGTTGTTATAATGAAGCCCATGACTTTGTGTACTAACTTTAAAAGTTAATAAGACAATAGAAAAGCTCCCGTTTCCACAGAAATAGGAAGGGAAAGTTATGATTTTCCCCTTGGCAACAGGAAGCAGCCCCGCTCTTTCCACGTCTCGCGATGCACTTTGTCACGGTAGGTTTCCGAAACGTACGTGCTTTGTCTTTGAGTTCCCCTTACACAGTTTGCCGTCTGACCTGGTTCTCACATTTCTCCTGCTTTTTGTGTGTCATGCTATTTCCCTTTTTTATTATTTCAAAGAGACTTCAAGATTCTCGATATCAAGGTCTTTCGAGCAGAGCTGTAGGGCCACAAACAGGGAAAGGATAAAGCTTCCAAGGGAAAAATGGACCTGTAAAAAAAAAATGTATATTCTGCCCCCCCCCCCCCACACCTGGGGATGCAGTGTGCTCTCAGAGTGGCTATTCTTGTCATGAAATGCAGCAGCAGTAGGAAGCAAGACCTTCTCCCTGCAAAGCGCAGCCCAGCAGCAGTCGCGGGGCACAGAGAGAGAGGTCTCTCTGCAGAGGGTCCATGAAGGTTCTAGAGAAAAAAAATCAACAGTGATGCAAAGCCATTGGATTTAAAGCATCATTTTGTCTACAAAGCATTGATTTGAGTTCTGACCATATAGAAAGGCAACCTCAAAGATCAGAGGGATTGAAGAACAAGGAGGGTAGAGGTCCTAGGACATGAAAGACCAGAGAATAAATACAAAGCACTTTTTCCTGCTAGAGTTTAATTTTTTTTTTTTTTGCTGTCAAGACTTTGAAAAATGATTTATTAGGGAAAACATACTATAGACTCTAGAAGGACATTAATTTTAAAAAGCAAGATGAAGTCTATTAAGTAGTACTTTTTTCTCTTCATTTCTACCAGCATGTTTTTCATTGTGTCACACCAAGGTTTTTAAAAATTTATTTTATCATCTTTGATATGTGTATACATGGGCATGGATGGTGGTCATGTCTACACGTGAGTGCAGGTGCCCACACAGACTGAGACATTGAAACCACCCCCACTCCCTGGACCTGCAGTTATGAGAGGTTGTGAGCTGCCTGATGGAACTGGGAACCGAACTTGGGTTCCCCGCAATAGCAGCGCTCATTCCTAACTGCTGAGCCCTCTCTCTGTTCCTGGACCAAGGGTTTTAAACAATGTTTGACCTTCTCATTTTGAACACGATGGTCTCCTTATCCAATCCTTGTGCATGTACTCTGTCTGGGCCCTGTGACCTCATCTGTTTGAGATTTGGGTCTCCAATGAACTCTTGATTGAGCATGTATCCAGGAAGGATTGGTTGCACTTCTCTGGGGCTAGCAAGCTAAACCTAAGGTAGAAGGGGAGTGAGTGCTTCTTCAGAGTCAGTTTTATTTATGGAACCACCTGTCACTTGGCCAGCCCAGAGAGAGACAGAGATGGTTACTCTAATGGCCGGGATATGATGAAGGGCTTTGCTGTTCTGTACGAATCCTTTGGTATTTCTAACACAGAGAAGCCTGTCTCTGTCAGTGTGGTAGCTTGCTTATAGTAGCTCGGTCAGTTTTGGTTCTGTGGGCACTAAAGCTACTACCAGTGTTCCCTGTTCCAGGACTTCTCAGGTGTTTGACTGATGTCACACGGCTGCGTGAAGGGTTTTGTTTGTTTTGGCTTATCTTATAAAATGTTTTGTGTTCCTCTGCTCTTGACTGTGACCTCCTTGCCTGTCAACCGTGCTGCACAGGCACCACTTATGAGTAATAGAGATTGTCCCCCGTTTCAGCAGCGTGCTGTGCTGACTTGACAATGATGTCGTTTCAATGATCCGACTTGGCAGAGTTTCTCAAAGCACATTCACAGTCCAGTCTGCACTCCTACTTTTAAAAGAGAAAAAAAGAAAGCCCATTAGATCTCATTAGCTTCATTCTGAGGCCCACGGCCATGAGGTATAACCTATGCTGTACTATGCCACACTAAGCTTAGCTGTGAGACTGTATGAGGCACAGTGAGAACCTGCTATGTAGAAATCTTTACTGAGGAGATTTAGTGTTACCACCCTGCTCTCTGTGCCCACTGGAGGACAATTCTCAACCATATCCCCAGTGAGATTGTAAGGAAGTATAAAAAGAAAGCAGAAGCTGTAACCCAGCTATGTTATTAGAAAATAGAAATGTCCGTTTGGAAATATACTTGGGCTGGTCTGTTTTTGCAGTTGCTGTCGCTGTGGCAAAATGCCTAGGCTGAGAAAAACAAAGGAGGAAGCTGTGGTTTGGGCTCAGAGTTTGAGAGGTTTCAGTCCAGGGAAGAGCAGTGTGGTCGGGAGTGGATGGTAGATCGGAGCTGCAGAGCGGCTCAGCTCACGGAAACTGTATGAAGCAGAGCCATCGAAGGGTTGGGGACGAGATAAGCCTTCTGGAGGCACACCCCAGTGACTCATTTTCTTCAACTAGGCCCCACTCCCAAAGTCTCCACCTTCTCTCAGTAATGCCATCAATTCATGAGTCTGCTGAGAAATCAGTCCATTGACTAAGAAACACCTTGTGATCCTACTCATTTCCCAAAACTCTAAAAGCTGGCAGCCACACATCCTACACCTTAGAGGATAACTCAGATTCATCCCTTAGCAACACTGTGTGTCTCCAATCCTTGGCCTGTTGGCTGTGTGCCCCCTAGGAGAGTTATGAATAAGGCCCCACGCAAAATCACAAGCTGGCTTGGAACTTCATGACTCTTTTTAAAAATGTATGTACTTTTGGTTTGTGTATAGGGGTGTTTTGCGTATGTGTATCTCTGTGCTCCGTGTGCCCACAATGCCCTGGAAGGCCAGAAGAGAGGGTTAGATCTTCTAGAACAGGAGTTACAGATAGCTGTGAGCCATCTTGTGGGTGACTGGGAACATAATCCCAGTCTTCTGGAAGTAGAGCTAATGCTCTTAACTCCTGAGCCATCTCTCTAGACCATCGTGGCATTTTTTAAATGGAGCTTTTGTTAATAACTCCATGTACCGTTCTCATGTGTGAACTTTGCAGGCGACAACATCCGTGCCTGTCACGATGCGCTAAGGCTAGATGTGCCTCCCAGTCTAAGGGAGTAAGTCTGACAATGAACTCACCATTCATTCTCCATCCTGTATTTTCCAGGTATAGAGGCAAAACATACAGGGCTGTGGTCAAGATCGTACGGACGTCAGACCAAGTGTCGAATTTCTGCCGGCGAGTTTGTGCCAAGCTGGAGTGCTGTCCAAATTTATTTAGTCCCGTGCTGATCTCCGAAAACTGCCCAGAGAACTGTTCCATTCACACCAAAACCAAATACAGTGAGTACAAAGGAAGGGAATGTCACCCTGATGCTTGAGCTTTGCCGGGTCACACCGGAGCTTTGTTGTTGTTGTTTGTTTTGTTTTTAACTCTTTGCATAGTTTTTCATATGGAAAACTGGAGAACTCTTTTAAGATATTCTGTGCAGGTCCATGTATGGTTTTAGCCTGACATAGAAAGGGGTGGACTGGTTCAAACCAGGGTGGTCATTAGAAGGTTTGGGGATGGAGAAGTGAGAATTTCAGAGGACCAGCTGAGGCCTAAGCCATGTGGGTGGAAGAAATGGTGTGACTAATAACTCTGATTCGGTTCTTGTCCTTACACCCAGGATGCTACTTCTTTTAGATTTTGTTTGATTGGTTTTTTTGTTTTGTTTTGTTTCTGAGACATGATCTCTCATTCTGTAACCCAGGATGGCCTTAAATGTTACACAGTAATTCAGGCTGAGTTACTGAGTCACACTCTCAGCTCCTCCTCCTTTTCCTGCCCATTTGTGTTGGAAATAAGATATGAGCCACCATCCTGGCTAATGGCTCCTTCACCCCGTCGCAGAAAAGTCTCTGGGCAGTTTTCTTACTGTCCTGACCATGTCGGTTTCTTCTCTGCTTGGAGACTTCCCCAGGACTCTCTCAGGCATATCGTTGGAGAATTCGGGAGCCATAACCCTTCCTTCCCAGCTGCCTTGGCTTCCCAGCTACTACGCAGGACTCTGAGTTGGCCCCACGTTCCCAACGTGTAGCGCTTGTCATTGCCAACCCCCCAATGCATTGAGAGGCCTCTGTCTTAGACTGACAGCTTCCCTCAGCCCTTCATTTCCTCTATTCCAGGAACTTTCTTCTTCCTCTCTGGTAGGCTTTACCACTGTAGAAGCCTCTGCCTGGGCCACCTCAAGCTCTGAAAACTCCAGCTTCTGACCTTGCTGTTCTCTCTTTAGTTCTCTCTGGGCCTGAGGTAGTGGCAGGAGAGATGGCTCGACCAACCCAAGTTCCAGCCACCTCCTGGAGTTTAAGGACCCACATGGTGTGCTTAGTGTTGTATGAACCACAGCCACCTGTGACATATCAACTGCTTTGTTGGTACCGGGGACAGAAGGATGGTTGAGATACTGTTCACAGTATCGCTCTATTCTGTACATAGACACAGACAGACAGACACATACACGCACACAGAGAGAGACAGATGTACTTGGCAAATTAGCCTTCCGCTTTCAGTCCCTCTGAAGATCAGAGGGTCATTTGTTCTCTGTATTACATCCCATACCTTTCCACCTACATACTTGATCTAGCTGAGATGGCTCATGGCATGGAAGTCAGTCTGCACATGCTAGACAAGTGTTCTGCCACCAGACTGCATCCCCAGGCCTCGGTGTTTTGAGACACGGTGTCTTAGTGTCTTTTCCTTGTTGCTGTGATTGATTAAATACTGTGACACAGGCAGCTTAAGCAGGGAAGGGTTTATTTTGGCTCATACTTCCAAGCTGCAGTCCACCAGAGCAAGGGCGTTGCCGTGGCAGGAATTAGATGGTGATCATGCTATGTCTGTAATCAAGAATCTAAAGCAGAGAGTGCAGGCTAGTTCTCAGTCTTTTGCTTGCCAGCTCACTCAGAGTACAGTTCAGTATCCCAAGTAGGGAATGGCACCGCCCATGGTGGGTGAGGCTTCCCACCTCAGTGAATGAAGTCAAGATAACTCCCTACCTGCAAGGTCACAGGCTCTTCTCAGGTGATTCTAGGTTCTGTCAGGTCAACAACCCTAACCATCACATACAATGTCCCTTTGTGATTTAGGCTGGCCTTGAACTTGAAAAAAAAAATTGAGACAACTTCTCCTTTTATAGCGAATTCTATCCCTGGATGCTCTCAGCTCCCTGCTCATTTCTGCATCACCTTATCTTTGGTTGGTGGAAGGGTTTGCTGGGTAGCAACTGCTCCTGAGAGAACTGACTTGACTGAGCACTTCAGTTGGTTTGAATGTTGACTTTGCAAATCTGGTTTCCTGTAGTCCTGGGCACTGGGGAAAGGGTAAGGGGTAGGCGTTGTGACCTGCAAGTGAACTGAGAGATGATTCTAGAACTCATTTCACAAAGTTTCAAAAGGCTTAGACCCTTCAGCCTGGATATCACTGTCACTGGAAACTGAGCTACGGTGGGAAGGAAAAACAAAACTAAAGCAAACAAAAATCCAGCCTTTGGCTAGAACTGGGACTATCGAGGGCGGGGATCTCCCAGTGGGCTATGGCTTGATGATGAACCTATCATTGGTTGTACTCAGTAAGATCATCTTCCTCCCTATAGCCTATTATTATGGAAAAAGAAAGAAGATTATTAAACCCCCAATTGGGGAAAGCAGCATTGAAAGTGGACATCCAAAACCGTCCAGGAGAAGGAAACGACGGAAATCTATCTTTGTGCAGAAGAGACGGAGATCTTCTGCTGTGGACTTCCCAGCGGGCTCAGGGGAGGTACGCTGTCTTTAAAGGCCTTCCAGCATGGGCGAGGGGCGGGGAAGAATGAGAATGCAGGCTTATGCATGCTGTGGTGTACCTGTGGAGGTTAGAAAACAACTTTTAGGGGTCTATTTTCTCCTCTCCCTGTGGGATCCCGGGACCAAAGGCAGGTTATCAGGTTTCTGCAGCAAACACTTTCGCCTGCCCTGTTTGGTTGTTTTGGGGGATGGGAGAGATCAAGCCCAACCGTTTGAAGGCTAGGCAAGCACTCTATCATTGAACTACAACCTAACCCTTGCAATTTTGAGACAGGGTGTCCCTGTGTAGCTGGCCATGAACTCTGTGTGTGTGTGTGTGTGTGTGTGTACACAAACATGGGAGGATAAGAGGTCAACCTGTCATCATTCCTTGGGACAAAGTTCACCTGAAATTTTTGTTTTCTGTGTTGTTGTTTTTGAGGTAGGGTTTCTTAACTTTTATCTGGAACTCATCATTAGTTATTTATTTATTTATCTATCTATTTATTTATTTTTGGCTAAGATGGTTGGCCAGCAAGTCTCAGGGATCCACCTGCCTCCACTGATTCAAGGCCCAGGTTTTCCACATGACTTCCTGGGATTAAACTGAGGTCCTTGTGTTTGCATGACAAGCACTTCACCTGTTTAACCATCTCCTAAGGCCTTGGTGTTTTTTTTGTTTTGTTTTGTTGTTGTTTTATTTTTGAGAGATGGTCTCAGCGTGTAGTCTAGGCTGCCCTCAAATTCACAAACCTCTGGCCTCATCTTCCTGAGTCCTGGAATAGGAACCTGGAACCAGACACTCTCCTTCAGCCCCTTATGTATTGAGAACCAATCGCACCTGTTCAACTACTGGTTAGGAAAAGGCTGTGTTAGGAGATTCTTCAAGGCTCTCTTTTAAGGCCTCCAGGGACAAACCTTGCCCAGAGCTTCATTTTAGAAGGAAAGCCAAGTGGCATGAGGGCCTGGCAGTGTGACTGTCAGGAAGAGCCCCTGTCAACCCGCCCCACTAACCACATCCCTCCCTCTCAGGAAAGCGAGGAGGAGGATGCGGACGCCCTGGAGGATGACACCGCGAGCGAGGAAACTGGTTCTGAGGTCCGAGACGACCAGACGGACACCTCCTCAGCAGAGGTGCCCTCTGCCCGGCCCCGGAGGGCTGTGACCCTGCGGAGCAGTTCAGAAGCTGTGAAGCGGCCTCCAGTGGAGCGGGCACGAAGGGTCCGCCCAGTGCCAACCGCTATGCCTACTGATGAAGGAGACAAGGGCCCTCCTGCTAGGCCCGAGGAGCCAGAGGTAAGTAAGCTCAGAGAATGGAGGGTCTGTGGCTCATCTTTAAGAACACGGAGTAGAGTTTAGGGTGTGGCTTAAGAAAAACTCAAAAGATGTCAGAAATGACTATAACTGCTCTGTCAAAATTCCAAGTCCGAGAACGAAAGGATGATTTTACCTCTTGGTAGAGAGGCTGAGGAAGCACCAGCAAGATGTTGCTGGGATAGTGGCTTCAATTTCTCGGCAGCTTTAACCCTCCAGACCTTCCAGTCATGCGGATGGAGAGGTTGCCATCTCTACATCTCCCATTTCCACCCTTGAATCCTGCAGCAGTCTCTCCTCCATGGGACACCTCTCTAACACCTTAATGCGTTAAATCAGCATAGTTGACCCCCCTAACCCTATAGGTGGTCTGTGGACAGCTGCAAAGGTCCTAGGCACCATCTTAGCAAAGGCAAACGGTGTATTGCATGGGTCTGGCTGTACTCCTCAGAATCTATCTGTATTGTGATCGGTGATGCTTCATTAGTAGCCAGGCCCTGCGTTTTCTGAACTGGGTGTTCAAGATTGACAGTCACTGTGCCATGTGGTGGGGCAAGTGTGCATGTTCATAGGTGTGCTTAGAGGTCAGGGGTCAACCTCAGATGTCATTTCGTAGGAGCCATCCCCTCTTCACTCTGTTTCTTCTTTTATTTCATTTTTTTATTTTTTGAAACAATATTTCATGCCTAGAGCTTAGCAGCTAAGGCTGGTTGGCCAGCAGGTCTCAGAATCCACCTGTCTCCACTTCTCCAGCACCACCAGTTTGTCTGTCTGTTTGTTTGTTTGTTTGAATGTGTGATCTGGGTATCGAACTCAGGTCCTTATGCTTCCGTGGCAAGCATTTTGCCCGTGTCTCCCAGCCCTGCTGTACCTTTTGTTATGGTTTTGAACCTTTGAAGACACCTAGGTCATGGCAGGTAGAGAAATCATCAGAGACAGAAACTCCATAGAGACTGAGCCCTGGGACTGTCTGTGTCCTAGGAGACCAAGAGAAGTAGGCGATCTGGTCCCACAGTGTGGCTGAGGCATACAGGGTATTAGAAAGATGAAGCTGGCCCTGCAGTGTGCAGTGACAACCCTCTGCCCCGTTCCCTGCAGGAAACAAAGCAGGAGGAGGAGGAAAGACTGATCCTGGAGAGCAATCCTCTGGAGTGGACCGTCACAGACGTGGTACGATTCATCAAGCTGACGGACTGTGCACCCTTGGCCAAGATCTTTCAGGAGCAGGTACAGTGGCTTACTGTGTTGTCAGTATTGTTTCCTGGACCCCAGGTCTCGTCTCTCTGTGTCTGTATATTTGTACATAAGTGTGTTTACGTGCATGCACTTACATGCACTTGTGTGTGTACATATATGTGCATATGGCTATGAAGCCTAGAGGACACCACAGGGTGTCATTCCTCAAACAATGCCACCTTTTTGAGACAAGTTCACTCACTGGCCTGGAACTCACTTAGCAGTCTAGGCTGACTGATCAGTGAGCCTCAGAGACCCACTTGTCTCTGACCCCCAAGTGCTGGGATTGCAAGCATGTACCAGGATACCTAGTTTTGCAAAAGTGAATTCTGGGAATCAGGTCCTTATACTCACTATGCAACCACTGTACTGACTGAGCTGTCTTCCCAGCCCAGAGACTAGATCCTAAAGGAATTACCCATCCTACATGGTTTCTCTATGACTTACCAGGTAGGAGGAAAGTCTCAGGGGCCCTTCATCTGCATGCACAGTTGACGCCCCTAAGTGGGCTCATCTGTGATGCTGAGCATCCGTGGTGCTTGTCATGAGAATCTGGTTTCTGGTTTTTAATTGTCTCACAGGGATGAGGGTTTTATGACCGAGACATATGTGGTACTGCCAGGTGGGGAGGGAACCTCTAGGCTCCACCCTCATCCACAGCTGTAGCCCACTCTCCAGTGCCAGGTGAGGAGGGAACCCTAGGCTCCACCCTCATCCACCACCCTCATCCACAGCCAGCTTCTGGTGCCAGTTTCTGCCATGCTGTTGCTGTGATAAAAACACTGACCAAAAGCAACCTGGAGCAGAAAGAGTTTATTTCATCTTACAGCTTTAGGTATTTCATGAAGGGTTGTCGAGAAAGGAGCTGGAGGTGGGAACCGAAGCAGAGACTTGGTGGGACTTGCTTGCTGGTTTGTCTATCATGTCCAGCTCAGGGAACTTTCTTTTACTACCCAGGGCTCTCTGCTAGTGGCTGGGCACTCCTCCATCAATAATTAATCAAGAAAATGCTCCAAAGAGTTGCCTTCAGGTCAGCCTGATAGTGACATTTTCTCAACCGAGGCTCCCTCTTCCCAAGTGATGTTAGCTTATGTTAAATTGACAGAAACAAAACAAAACAACCCAAAAATCTAACCAGTGCAACCTTACAGAGTAAATATGTCTTTTACGTATTATGTAAATACGGTTTTCCATATAGCTGATTAAAGGTATGCCTATCGAGTCTGTTTTTAGATTAACAAGCCAATAATTAGGGAAGATAAATTTTAAACATTAAGTCAGAACAAAAGAGGTTTGATTTCCCAGACACATGGGGAATTTTCTATCTAATATGTTATAAAAAGCAAATTAGTGAACATCCTAATCTTTCACCTCCCACTCCCAAGAGAAGTTCTTGGTATCCAGGTTCTCCTGCCTGGAATATCTATGAGACAAAGTGATTAATCTCATCCATTCTGGAAACTTCTGCAGACTCCAGAAAAGGTCATGTGGAAGACACAAACAGGAGCAGAGAGGAGGTCCAGTTTTTGGCTTTCTGGCATTCACAGCTCTTCTGCTCTGGGTACAGACAGGGAGGCAGACAAGGAGATGTCTTAAGGATGAGGACAATGATCCGTTAACCTTCATTGCAGCAAACAGACAAGACAGAGGACATGTCCAACAGTAGCCTAACTGATACAGGGTTTATTGATAAAACTGCATTTTCGTCTTAGAAAGAAACACAAGGCAATAGTTAGAAAACTCACTTCTACTACTGCCTGGGGCAACATTTTCCCTGATTGATTCTTAGTCATAGTGATACTGCCAAACATTGACAAAAACCAAGCAGAACCCCACTGTATTCAAGTACTTGACAAATTCTATCTATATAGGTTTAATACTGTGTATATGTTGGCCCATTGTATATTCAACATACACTGACCAAACACCTGCTACATGCCTTATAATGTCCAAAACATGACAATGAAGTGTGGCATTCATAAAATCTCATTTTATTTTGGTATAGGCTCCAACGTTCCATTTTCACTTTAGAAACATGATTCTGTTGTGAGCAGAATAAAGGATAGATTTTTTTTTCACTTTCTAGATTCGAAGTTAGGTGGGAACTCAAGACCATCTGTAGCATGAGTGGTTACCTGTATTGGTACTTTGTGCAAATTTTCAGTAGGAAGCTGGCTCGTGGGGAGGGATTAGCCGAAGTACTCTTTAAAGTCCTCCTTTATATCCCATGGCTACGCGCAGTTTCCAACCATTTTTATTAGATCACCCAACCAATATCTCAGAATGTTTCAAGGAAAGGAACAATTGGCACATCCCCACAGTAGATTCAGAGTGGGCACAGGCTTCCTCCACCCACCTCCTCTGCCATCAGCTAAAAGCTTTGTCCTTGATTTAGATGTTAGGTGGGCTTTAATGGATGAGTCTTGTTCCAAATTAATTTTGCATTTCACATTAGGGATTTTCAACTGTTAAAAAAAAAGAAGCGTTGCCTGCTGGGCTGTCTAAAGTGTGTGGACACTTGAGTCCTTTCTGGCCCATTAGACTTTTAATGACTTATTTTTACTAATTTGTTCTATCATCATTTTGTGCAAATGATGGCGCTCTGATTGGGTGAGGCCCCCAGCATTTTCCGAGCTGTCGATGAACTAGGTGCCTGCAGATTACTCACCGGCCTGCACAGGAGATCACCGTGTACGGCATGATAATAGCGGTGTGCGTTCACGCCTAGAGACGTTAGGAATTCAGAGATGGTTCTAATCACCAGGAGCGATTGCAGGCGTTACACAGTCCCCATTACCAGCAGACAGACCTTTTATTTCTGAAACGTTGTGGCAGTCTCTTAGTAAAATCTATTCTCTCTAATTTCATGCTGCAAATCTGAACATTATAAGTGAAAGTCCATGCATCTGTAATGTGTTTTTAAACACACAGCCCTGAATGGCATGATCTATGTGCTCATCCATGGCCAATCAGTCTGCTCACAAGAGAAGCAGGAGGCCCGAGTGAGTCATTTCTTTTATAAAATTGACGACTTTAGTCATCTTCTTCTTCATTTCCATTGGCCCCCCGTTCTTTTCCATTTCCCTCCCAATTTAAAGAAGAGAAGTTTAGCCTTTTTCAGTCTGTAGTCATGCGGGTCTGCTCTCCTGAGCTCCTGTGACAGTATCTTCACGGAGCACCATGGTGAGGCAGAATTGTATGCTTAATGGCAATAGGAAAGGAAACAAAGACAGGGGCAAGGTTCCAAGGCAAGCCCTTGGTGACCTATCCAGTGCATCCATCATGGTCCTCAGGATCAGGTCAGAATCTCAGAGCTTATCAGCTTTAACACATTAGCATTTAGGAGGAACCCTTTAGCTAGATACCCTCACAACCCAGAAATATCCATTAAAGAACAGCCATATCCTACAGAACTCTGCCAAGTATTAGTTTTCCTTGTCTTGGGTGTAACTTTTGTGTCGGATCTTATTCCTCCAAGATGTTCTGTAATTATGGTGAGTCGGCTTAATTTTCATGTTTATCCAAGTCCATCTCCTTAAAGTTAGTAGTCCATTAGTGAACCTATTCAATAAAACAGCTTATCTGCCAGCCTTTATGATGATACAGGAGCATCACCAACTGTGAGACTGGTATGTAACCTATATAATCCATGAGGGGGAAAAAAAGCAAACTTCTTTCAAACCAAACCAAAGGTTACCTCTGAGTCTCTTGGAACGGGAATTCCCCGCTCACTCTCCTGTGATTTACAGTGTCGTATCTATGTCCTCTTTGCCCAGCCTTTTCCTGTTTACCCATTTCCCTTTCCAACAGCACTGTGAGAAGCAACAAGCATTGACTATATGGACTCTAAAGCAGGAGTGAGTCCAAAATAAGGGTTAGCCTCAGGTTAGTCTTTGCACAAAAGGGACAGCCCGATGTTTCATTTGCCAAATCTAGCTGGTTTTAGCAGGCAGCCTGGGAGTTAGAGGCCTGGGTATATTCTGAGTAGCATGGTCTTCTCAAAACTGTTGAAATAGGAGCGGCAGGGCTGCGTCCCCGGCACCCGGCCGCCCGCATGGCTAGTGTATACCCAGAAATAATTACACGGAAACTGTATTCTTTCAAACACTGCCTGGCCCGGCTAGGTCCAGTTTCTTATTGGCTAGCTCTTACATATTGTTCTAACTCATTTCTAATATTCTGTGTAGCCCACGAGCTGGCTTACCAGGGAGGATCTTAACCTGCATCTGTCTGGCGTGGGAGCATCATGGCGACTCCTGACTCAGCTTCTTTTTCCCAGCATTCTCTTCTGTCTACTCCGCCTACCTAATTTTCTGTCCTATGAGGGCCGAGGCAGTTTCTTTATTA